TAACAAGGAAAAAATGATGTTTCATTTTGTCTGTTTGGCTCTTAGATATATTAAAATTGGACATATCCAGGTCTGACTTGTTTTTTCATAGAGGACAGAGCTGCCTACTTGGACATATTTGACTTTTAACCATATCTTTTGTTTGTTGTCTTCCTTGTTATTATTTTGATAAAGTTCAATTCTTCCTTTCCTATGTTGTAGATACTTCTTCTCTTGCAACTGAAAGTACTGCTTCTGATTACAGTGAGGTGGCTTGATGGATCATTGGCCTCTTGGCAAAATTGGGGACGGGGGAGGGAGGAGGCTTCATATAAACATGACTTCAAAAACTCAGGGTATGTATGCCAGCATGCACTGGAGTTGTTGGATAAGTTCTTTTTGTCAAAACACATTTCATTATGTTTTTTGAATGCTGGCCTGGTGTACACTGATCAGTTGTGGTATTCTTTCCCTGTGCAGGAGATCAAACCGAAGAAAGACAACACTCAGCGCAACATGCTCGTGTCGATGATATGGGTGCAGAGGAAGATTGTGAGGATGATCAGTGAGAGCAGGGACGTGCTTACCAGCCAGCACAAGAGCATCTGGTGGAGCTGGTAGATCCCCAGGGAGGAGTAGGCGGGCGTACATTGTCCATTTCTTCTGTAAATAAATACCACTCTACACAATATAACTGTTTAGAACAACACATACTCGACTAATCATCCTTTATAAATCAACAGGCTTGTACGAGATGTTAAAATGTGTTCCTATATGTCTACCATTATTCTTATGTTTTAGAAGTGTTAATTTCATTGATTTCTTACTTATATGTATATACTGATTGCAGATTTGCTAGAATTTCACTTTGCAAAACCCATGATCCAATCCATGTTTTGTCCTTACAAATAGATAAATGCATGAAGGGATAGCTGCTGCAGATGCTTACTTGTTGTCAACATTAGATGGTGATTTGGTAAGTGGCTATTTTGAAAAATATTTTCTCAGTCTAACATGTACACTATATTCACACAATAGCCTTGCTTCTGCACCCCATCTCTCTCTATAGCCTCTATCTGCATTTGCATCTTTGAGCAAACAACCTAGGTTGAGCAGCTCACTTGAGCTGGCCGTCAGCACCGCTCTTTGATCTAACTTTTGTCCCAAAATCTCAGGCAATTTCTTCCCTATAAAATAACATGGAGCATCAAAATTTGGATTTTCAAAAGGTTCTTACAAACTGAATTGTATCGATACCACATTCATGATAATTTTTCAATTTGTATTTGCTTCTAGACACCCTGACATATTAAAATTTTGAATAGGAGAGCCATTCAGTATGATAATAAGCATATGCATTCTTTGCTGAATATATTTTTTTGATATGCTTCTATTGTTAGAGGGTTTTTAATTTAATTGGTCGTATTCTAATTATTTTGTTCACAGGTTGTATTTGCTAAGATCTTGCCGTCGTGAGATCAATGACTCAATGTATGCACCTTTGCATATGGGTGAACTTGAATAGAGAAAAACCTTCACTATGGAACTTGTGGCTTGGTGACTGTCAGGAGTGAGCATTTGGTGACTGGGTAAAGTAGTAAAAGCCACATGTGGTTGGTTGACCTTGCTGGAAGTGAGCACTTCGCTAAAACTGAAGTAGGAGAGACGTCAAAGGAGGCAAAGTTCATCGAACAATCTGTATTCTCTGCACTGATTGATGCTATTGCTTCCCTTGCCTCCAAAAATGCCCACATTCCATATTGCTCCGTCTTATTCAGTATATACATGCTTCACCATCTTCCTTGCTCAGTTACTTAAAAGAAGCATCCCCTCAGCTCAGTCTTACTCCTATTTTTTCTCTCTCTCAAATGTAGGAATTCCAAGCTAACTCATCTGCTTCAAAGCTCACTGATTTATAAGGGTCGAGAAGTGCACTGATTTATAGCTAAATAGTTATATCTCCTTCTACTAAACTTAGCTTATGAACTAAAATCTCCAAACACAAAAACGAAGAGATAAGAGTGTTCAACATGAATTACAGGTGGAGATTCCAATTGCAAGACATGTCTGTTTGTGGAGATAAGTCCGAGCCATACAGATTTGTCTATTTCGACAACAGAACTTATAATATAAAGATCTCTATGAATGCGTTCATGGATATAGATAAAAAATGAGTAGGGGATTTATAATACAAAATCTTTGTGAGTGCATTCATGGATCTAGGCCGAAGTCTAATAGGCATCAAGGGTAGAAGCACATGGATAATAAGAACACAAAAATAGCTAATAATTGATTTATTGGTATAAGCTACAATGTTACATAACACATTCATCTTTAATCTATTTGCAACTTCTTCATTTGCAGATGAGATTTGGTTTTCTTCTACCAGAACAAACACTATTAAGTGGAAACCTATGTAAATAGAAGTATTAAACAAATGTTTTGATTGCACTTGAGACGTGCATTGCACGTGCAAAAGCTTACTAGTAATGAATAGTTGAATGATGCAGCATGGTGCACAACTGCGTGTTTACATGGGAAAAATGAATAGATGGAAATGTATTCAGAATACAATAAGTTCGAGCCTCTGTATTAAAAGGGAACTCATATGCTCCTCACGAGCTTTGCTGGAGAATGTTTCAATGGGTTTATGAAGAACTTTATCGTTTCTAGAAGAATACAAGCTTAGTTTGGAAAAATAAATATCAAAATTACCATTTAAAAGAATGCATATATAATATATACACGTATGCACTTAGTTTATCCATCGAGTGGATTAAAACTCCAGTAAAAAACATGGATTCAATCCAGAGTTTTCAGCCATCCGCCCTCATCGGTTCCTCAGATCAAGAATACAATCTTTGACCATACCTTCGCTATAAATATCAGTTGTTCATAATTTAATCTTGGTTTGGCTGCAAACATCAACAGATGCTGTAGCTAAATATTGATGCTTTATGACTGACCATGGTAGGAGCTTAAACTGAAGAACAAATATATCAGAAAAAGGAAACATGTTAATTATAAGGCCAAAAAGTAGATCAAATGAGCATTGAAAGTATTTCTACTTGTTCTTGTGTGAGTACCATCTAATCTCTACACATTCACTATAGTAAATTATCTATGTAACAGAGACCAAAATTTTGCCTCCCAGAATCTAACCAGAGACCAATCAAATACACAAAGAGGATCCCAGAGTTAGTAATATTACGACAAAAAATTCTGGTATTAGAAAACTATTATTTTCATGAAAAAATGATGATACAGTTTTACCTAAAAAATTTGAATGACCTCTTTTCTAAAGGAAACAATCTGAATGCTCTTTTGTATGTCATCAGCCAAACTTAGACTGCCCGCTATCTAATATGCCGTCTATTTACTAAAAGATATAGTAGTTCATAACCAGCCAATGGGCAATACCTGATAACATCATGGTAGAACATTGATGTAGGCACCGACATTGAAACCAAGAGGACATTCACGCAAGAGATAGCGGTGCCAGGAATAGCCGTATTTGAAACTGTGAAGATCCTACACACTACCCCAAATATACGACTTGTTAGCCGGATCGCCTCTTGCTCCTCCCGCGGAAATCACCTTCCCTTCTACGTTTCCTCATCTCATACCTGCAATACAAATAACCTCCTCCCTGTGAGGTAATTCCTGGAACACTTGAAGGGTAGGAAAACAAACTGTCCCGGACGACGGTTTACTTACATGTCAATGACGCCCGAACCGAGCCCAACGGACAGGGCATCCGCGCCTTCCACACCATCACCGTGGAGAAACTCCATGGATACTCACTGAAGCACGACGACGATGTTGCTGACCTTGATGATGGAATCGAGCGGTAGTGCCTACTGCGTGAGGTTGGAGATGAAACGCCTAGCAGATCGCCTTTGCTGCTGGCTGCCTGCACTTCCAGAGAAGTGTGCATCTGAGGCGGGGGCAGCAAAGGAGGACCAGCGGGGGGCCTGCTCGTCTGCTCATGCTCGCAGCAACGGGGGCGGCGGCGGGGGCGAACCGCGCGCGGCGGGGCGGCGGCGAACCGCGCGGATCGCGGGAGGACGGGGGCTGCGAACCGCACGCGTGCGTGGGCCGTGCTGTGGAGGCCGACGGGAGGAGGAGGAGCAGGAGGGGGCGTGCGTGCCTGCATTGACAGTTTTTCTTTTCTTTTTCGAACGCCTGGCTTAATTAGCGATCGATGGATCAGTTATTGGGTTAATGCGTGGCTTGTAGCGTTAAACACGGGAGAATTAGGAGCCATTAGATCTCGTAAATGAATGGGTTAGATTGTTTGGATCTGCCCCTCTCTTTCTTTTATAGTGGTAGTAGATGGCATGGTGGGTAATTAAAGCGTAAAACACGTTTAGTATGCTGGAGGGATGTAGACCATCAGATTGCAGGTTTCGATGAATAGGATGATCTGATTCTCCGTCCACTTTTTCTTTCATAGTGGTAGTAGATGAGGAGAGAAGAAAAAAAAGGAGTTGCTGGGAAGATGTTTGTTCCAGTGCGCTCTGGGCCTTCGCCTGCAGTACAGGTCTGGACGCTTACGGTCTTGCATCCAATCAGTGATCGGTGCTGCCTTCAGTTCCACCTGCTACTGCAGGTTCGCTGATTATGTCACGTGCTGCTACTAGTATCCTTCCTTTATTGGGTGTGTTCCACGCATCAATGCAGAGTTTGTACACACGACACATCAGGGCTTGGCTGCATCTATCTCGACTAAACACGCGCACGGAACATAGCTTTCTCTCATAGGAGACGCAAGCTGCATGCGAGCTGTTGGATTCACCACAGGAAGAATACAACAGCCAAATTAGTTTGAGAAAATCATGAACAAATTCATTCTCGAAAAGAAAATCATGAACGAAAACAGTGCAGGGAGCTCAGACCATCTAGCAAAACCATGACTTAGAGCTGAAGCTGTCTCAGGTGCGATGTCAGATGGAGCTGGAGCTGGCTCAGCTGTGGAACTGGAAGCTCTTATTCGAAAGACGGAACGGGAACGATGCACGTCAGGTGCGCGCAAGGACGAAGTTCCAGCCGAAGCCTCGGTTATGGAGCAGGAACCTGACATGGGTGATGTACTCCCCGCCGGCGCTGAGGTTCTTGGCGTGGAACCCGGCCTCGCACCGGGGGGCGAGGTGGAACAGCATCTCCATGAGCACCGACGCGATCAGCTCCCACTGTGCTCCGCCTGATGATCTCCCGGCGGGGTGGAGCAGCGTCTGCGCGAGCGCCCACGCGCGGGGCAGCACAGGCCGCATGGTGTCCGTCGAGTTCCGCGCGAACGGCACGTACCCTGAGGACGCGGCGGTGGCATGGCTCACGCCGGCGTCCAGCATCTTCCTGACGGCCTCGACGTCGTCCACTTTGACCTTCTTGTCACTGTGATGCTCGAGCATCAGCTTCACCTCCTCCCTGGCCTTGAGGTGCGCGACGTGGCCTTCGCTGCTGGTCATCACGCGCCGCACCATGACAAGGTCCATCAGGTAGTTGGAGACCTCCCGGCAGAGCCTCATGTGGCGGTTGGCAAGGCCGGCGTCGCCACCGGTGAGGAAGAAGCAGATGTCCGTGATGAGGTGCCACGTGAGGACGCTTCTGGGGAAGTCCACCTTGTCGATGCTTTCGTACAGCTCAGACCTTGCATGGTGCCCTCTCAGCGATAGGATTGCCGTGCCTCGGTCATGGCTGAACCGCTCGCACCGGACCTGGTCATCCAGCTCGTTGCAGATAAGCTCCTTGGTCTCGTCGGGGATGGCGCAGAGCTTGGAGTCCCCCGCGAGGCCAATCCGGCGCATCATCCTTGCGACGACACCGGCTTGCTTTTCCTTGATGCATCCGGCTATCAGGTTGTATTGTGCCCATTTGTTGGACCACAGTGGCTTGTGGTATGGTCGCACGAACCTGATCACACAGAATATCATTCGTGTGAACCTGTTCACCCCGAATCTGTCGCGCAGGAAGCAGTATGACCGGTAGGACAGGGTGACCATTAGCATGGACAACAACTCCAGCGCCACGGCACCAGCCAGCAGGATGTAGGAGACGACGATGTCCACACGGCTGTACACGCTGCCCTGCTTCCTCGCCGTCGCAAAGAGCACCAGGGCCGTCGAAGTGGTGCCAAGTGTGAGGAGCTGAAGGCCAATGCTGATGATTGGCCTGGACTGGTTGTACCGAAGGCCGACCTTGGTGTAGAGGCGGTCGTAGATGAGAGAGAGCTGGAGCTCACACAGCTTGTACGCCCTGGATGAGAACCAGTCCTTTCCTCCTCCGCCTGCTTGTGTTGATCCTCCATTGTCGCGCCGATATATTTCCTCAATCATGTTAAATATAGAAGGTAACACCCATGGCGCCACAGGGATGTCATTCAAGACATTGATGCAGTTGGGCAGGCTGTCGCCGGCTGCTTGCACGAGGTCGGCGTACTCTTGTTGGAGCCACCATTTGTTCCGGCCAACAATCTCTTGATTGTACTTGGCAATCTCCGACGAGGTTTGTGGTGCTTGTCTCCCTTTAGGGTCTTCGAATTTCCTCAGCGCCTTGTACAGATCACCCATGCGGCTGTCCTTGATCGCCTCCGCGGTGGCCATCTTGAGCGCCCATGTCCTCTCGGCATACTTGACAGTCCCCGAGACGAACATCAGCACCACAGGAGCCAGGAGCCGCTTGTCGCGCCATGACTTGGCCACGACGTAGACGGCCAGAACCACCTGGGTGACGAGGCCCAGGAGGTGGCGTTTCCACAGTTCATTGTCCTCCATGGATAGGGCGGTGATGGTGTCCTGCCCGCCCAGGTGGAGCAGCAGGACCGGTGCCCACAGGAGCACTAGCTGGTGGCGTGGATCGTTTGTTTGGAGAGTGAGGTGGCCGAGGACGAAGATGGCGACGTAGTCCGCCATGAGGTACGCGAGCCAAAGTAGGATGCGGAGCATGGTGGACGTGTTGCGCTTCCGGATGTGCGCTGCGAAGAGGAGGAAAGCCTGCAAGGCGAAGCTGCCAAGGACCATGCATTGCAGCTCCCACTCGTTCCACAGCTTCTGCGCGTAGGCCAAGCTGCATAAGGAGTGAGACATTCACAATGTCATTATCGTATATAATTTTCTTTAAACACCGCCTTAATTAGATTAGGAAATATATTACAAAGCTGCACGAGGAAATTACACAAAGTAAGCTAGACAAACAGGGGATATAAATTAAGTGATTAGCTATTACTTCTAATTTTAGTTACAAAATAGAGACAACTGCATAATCATAATGTCCACGTACCGCGCGTTCCTACATCTTAACCAAAAAAAAAACAATCTATGGAAGAAGATTGTTTGCAGATTTATAACTGAATGCCAATATGCAAAATCTCAGCCAAGAACGAGTTTTTTTTTATGTTATTCACTATAAGTTAGACCTATAATGCGAACTTGCATTCATTTATTATGTCTCACCATTTGTAAGGTGCATGATTTATTTTTGGCCTATAGATTGCTATGTTATCTGAAACTTTGAGGTTGATCATTGGAAAGAGAAACAGGACTTGTACATGAACAGTCAGTCACCAAACAAACAAATCTTCAGCCTCTATATATAGTACGGAGTTTTTTTTTTTGAGAATCTTTGAAGAGTTCTGACACTTGATTTTCATGAAATTTGCCACATAAAGTATATGCCATTTTCACTTGACCTGCCACACCGTTAATCACTCATTTTCATGAAATTCGAATATTTTTTGGAACTTATATACACTCGTTTATATACTTGCATATTAAAAAAAGAAGCTCATAGTACCTCAACTGATTCACCTTCTGGCCGCCATCGATGTGGCTGCCTATCATCATGGGGCCGCACGCGTACGCTTCTACAGACTATATACTATTTGGTATACCTGAGAAATAAAAGAGTATAAGATGGTTAAGATCTTATATGTGGAATACATTTCTCAAGTAGTGCTGCATACTCTTCCACAAACTGAACTGCACGAATCCTTTCTTGTACTATGTAAATAAACCTAATATGCTCTCCTAGGCCCTAAGTCCCTCTATTGCAAGAGCTACGCAGAGAAATGGATGGGACGGATAGAAGTCGTCAAAGCTAAAATCTGATGGTGCGGGAATGTGGATGTGTGGGAGGAGTGTTAGACTGCATAGTTATATAAAGTCTCTAAATTGCAAATTAAGTTTATTTAGGACAGGTTTTTGACCAATAATTACACATTTACACTATTAGTATGTAACTTTTTGTTATACAAAATCATAACTACAAACATGTATTTTGGAATACAAATCTGATAACATCAACTTTATGTCATAAAATATATACTAATAATGTAGTTATTGATAAAATGTGTGTCCTAATAAAACCTAGTACTCTGCATTTTGAAACGGAGGGAGTATGTTATTAGCCGGCCACTGGCTAACAACTAAATCCCCAGCAAGGATGTTTTCATGGCACCAGTCGTGGCTTCAATGGTAGAATAGTTTGATTTCTAAATGTAGTTCCATTCCTTTCCTTCAATACATTTCAGCTTAAGATGGAGTGCACAATGAGAAGGCTAGCTACTTCGGTGATCAATCTAGAGGCCAGAAGGGATGCGCACAAACAACGCGTTGGTAAAACACTCAAATAGGTTATCTAGACATTCTGAAAACATGTCAGCTTAGACTAGACGAATTAACCTAATAACTAACTCTCCAGTTCAGCCCATAAAAAGTCAGCGTGATAGAAAGTAGTTACCGGGATGGCTTGTCTCTCCAGCCGGGAAGACCCCATCACCAGATGTGCCGGCGAGAGCTCCTATGTGTATTTGCGAGGAAGCGAGTAGTGTCCAGAGAGGGCCTGGAGCCAAAGTGGAGAAACAACATGGGCAATTGAAGCATAAGGAAATCCACTTTGCTTGCGGGGTGGCGCAAAGAATATGGACAAGCCACGATGCGGAAAGAAATAAAGTGGTGTGTATACTGTGTAGTGGTGCCAAAGCGAAACCGAGTGCTGGAGAAGGATGACAGGACAATGGGATGTGTACTGGTTGCTGAGTACTTCATCTGTCCCATAATATAAGATGTTTTTTAACACTATATTAGAGCATCTCCAACAGACGCGGTAAAAAGCACGCGCGCGGTAAACCGAGTCTTTTGGGCGCGCGGGACGTTTCGGCGCGCTTCAGCGGTGGAGGGAAAATCGCGCGCGTGGGAACGGTTTGTGCGCGCGCGGGAAAAGGCGGCAGGTCACGCGCTTTTTTTGCCGCGCCGAAAGCGGCGCACCTATAAAATGCGGCGTGCGCCACACGCCTATTGCACACGCTTCTCTTTCTCTTCCGTTGCCACACGCCCCTCCACCGCTTCCTCGGTTGCTTCCGCTGCCACCCGCGCCACCGCTCCAGCGCCCCGCCACCATGCCGCCGCGCCGCCGAGGAGTGTCGGGCTACTGCGGCGTCCGCCAGCGCCCCAACGGCGGGTTCTACTCGGAGATACGGTCCGGCCAACTCCGGCTCGGCCTCGGCACCTTCGAGACGGCGCATGAGGCCGCCCGCGCGTATGACGCGGCGGCGTGGCGCCTAGGCAGGCCGCGCCAGCAGATGAACTTCCGCGATGTCCACACGTTGCAGCAGGCGCTGGACGTCGCCCCGCCGCCTCGTCTTCGCACGGCACAAGACCGTGCGGAGCACGCTGAGCGGCAGAACCGCCTCCTCGTCGCCCATGAGGACGAGCGGGTCATGGCGGAGTGGCGCCAACAATACCCGAAGGACGTATCCTACGAGCAAGCCTACTGGGTAAGGCGCCGCGAGGAGGAGATGCAAAGGCGCCGCGCTGAGCGGTTGGACAGGCGTCGGCGGAAGGCCCTGGAGCTATCCCAGTGCGATGTAGTTGAGAATGGTGGTGAGACGATCTTTACATCTGATGATGATCGTTGGGAAGACATGTGGCTCGATACCTCGGATCAGACCAGCGAGGACGGCGACGGTAACGATGACGACGACGACTGGCAGTAGGCTGTAGCTGCACTAGTAGTTTTTATCTATGTCCTTGTACTATCTAAATAATTTTTATCTATCTATGCTATGGAACTATGTAAAATATCTATGTATCGTTTTTTCTATCTATGAATTTTATTAAAAAAATATACGCATTGTTTAGCGTGCGCTGCATTTTAGCGCGGCCGTTGGAGCTATGCGCGCGCTCAATTTTGACGCGTCTGCTGGAGCCACCGCTGCCGGCCGCGCCAAACCAGGCGAATGGCGCGCGGCAAATGACTTTTTTGCGCGCGGCACGTTGCGCGGCTGTTGGAAATGCTCTTGATGGCTAAAAACGTCTTGCATTATGGGACGAAGGGAGTAGTTCACAGTTGAGAGGGAGCGGTGAAAAATAAAGATGCTCGCACCTGGGTCCAACTGTCTATTGGTGTAAAATGTGAGATGAGACAAAAAGAGATGGAAGAAGATGATTGCCTCAATTAGATCCTAGAGAAGAACAACGCAAAGATATGAGCGAGACATTTTGGTACCTTTACTCAAAGGGAGAACGTCAGCGAGAGAGAGCACCAATGCATGTGCCTCAAGTCTTCTTTAATTGATAGTCTTTATTTATGCACCTGCAGATACAATCAAACAAAGTTTAAAATCTCAGCCTTTGCGTCATGGATACACCTAGCCAAAGACGCACAAGCCGAATATATGGGGATAAATCCGCTGAAACCGCTACAGGGCATATCAGGGGATCTTAGGAGACTACACGGCCATGTGCTGTCGACAGAGAAAAGTCTTCTCGCCTCGAAGGCTCCAGGATACCCGCTTTATGTGGTTCGTGTGCCTAAGGCCAGGTGCTACGTCGACACACTCCCCGCGGGCGTGTTCTTCCTACGGTTTGATCATATCTTTGAAATGTTTCTCACAAGGCGGCTCGATTTTACAATCGTCTGCCTTTTATGCTACATATGAGCTTCATCATCAGGAGAGCCAAATCTCGCAAATGATTAACAAAGGACTGATGCAGCGAAAGATTATTGGACCCATGGATACGACACCAACTCAGAATCAAGCTTGTTGTTCGAGATGGAATGGTAAGACGAGGAAATAGATGTAAGCTTAGCTCATCGTTGAAAGTTATGCTCTAGGAATATGGATCAGGTAGCACAGATAAAATTAGCACGATAATGATATAGCTAATCAGGCTAGGAATGACGTGATCGGGTACAAACTCATAAGTAAAGAAGATTACTAAGAGTTGTTTAATAGCGATGCAGACTCAATTTAGTTATCGGTGTCCCTGAGTGACTAACAACTCGGAACCCAGGAAAATTGGAATCGGTGAGGAATAGTAGTTGATGAAGAACTCTTCAGAAGTTATGTAGTTCCGTGGTATCCTCGAGATACCGGAGGGTAATACTTGAAGGCAGATCAGAATAGAAAGTGAATTGGAGCGTTGACTTGCGATTGCAGATACTTTAATCTTGTCAAAATGGACGAGGCAATGGAATGGTTTCCTTTCAGATATATTGAATAAGGTTAGCATGGTGGGAACCATAACTACAAGGGATCCAATTTACGACACCGGGAGAATTATTCAAATGATTAAATATCCTTGCAAGAAGCTTTCATGTTAAGTTCCAAAATCGTGTCCGTGGGCATGAACACAAAGGTTCAAGGTCGACTCCCACTTCTGCAATGCATAACCTTTCATTCGCTTCTCGTTTTCGAAGAAGTTGTAGTGTTGAAATTTTATCTGGCGAAGCACCAGAAGAGTATGACTCGTGAAAACTTTCGGGTTCACCCGGTTTAGAGAAGGCCTATAGGTTCAACCCATCGGGGCATCTTAGAAACATATACCACAAACTTCAGGAGTAATTATCACCAGCTCGAAAAGCAGAGCATGGTTAGCCAAATCAGAGAATAGGATTTAACATTGGCATTATGTATCAGGAAAAGAACTTCTCAAGGTTTTCGTATACGAAGGACATTGTCGAATGATAATTCGACAAAAGATCTGACAGTCCATAACGGGGCTGATGTGAGCATTAACACACGCTCAGAGGACAAAACAAAGCAAAGGCTTTGGATTATAGAAACAACTAACCAATCCAAAGCTCAAAGGCAAAGGAATTAAGATTTCCAAATCAAGGGATCAGGAGCAAGGGCTCTGCTTAAGGATGGATAAGTCGAGTAGGCTTAAGGGAATAAACAATGGCAATTTGATTGGTCGAGATCCAGCTCATTGATATGTCTCCAACGTATCTATAATTTTTGATTGTTCCATCCTATTATATTATCTATTTTGGATGATAACGGGCTTTATTTTACACTTTTATATTATTTTTGGAACTAATCTATTAACCGGAGGCCCAGCCCAAATTGATGTTTTTTGCCTATTTTAGTGTTCCGCAGAAAATGAATATCAAACGGAGTCCAAACGGAATGAAACCTTCGGAGGCGTTATTTTTGGAACAAACATGATCCTGGAGACTTGGAGTGGACGTCCATAAACAATCGAGGAGGCCAT